TCTAGAGTACGTTCTTTTTATTGAACATTATCTATTGGATAAATATCTGATGTTGTTTTCTTTTTGCTTTGTTTATTTTCACTTTTCATTCTATTACATTAATAACATTCTATTTTCATATGCATTTTTATGAGTAGTACATTCACATCAACATCTGAATATTTATGTGTGTATGTATGTATGTATATGGGAATAACTTGAGTCGTTTCTTATTGAGTGTAGAGTGGTGCGGCAACATATTTGAGTTGAGTCGAAATTGAGCTAATCTTCATACTCCGCCAGAAACCTACACCTTTTTTTATTTTATTTTTTATTTTCTTTATTTATTAGCTTAATTACATTTTAACATATTTGATATTATAAGTAGATACTGTCTTCCATTAAAAATATATATATGTACATACATATATCTATAAGTGACTGACAAAAGCATTTATATTAAACATAAATAATAAAAAAAAAATAAAGTTAAATAACTTAAACTTAGTTGGGATACATCGGTCATTAAAAAATTATGCGCTTAATTATATAAAAAAATTGAAATGTTGCAATTCGCTTAAATTTGAGCGATTTAATTATAATAAAATCCTTCAGTTGCTACTTGTCGCTCGGCCCTACGCTTTTCACATAAAATTAAAATCACAATTTTAAAGACTTGATGTGTTGTTGTATTTTTTGTTTTCATTACTTTGATTAACTTTTTAATATTTATTTTTTGTTTAGTTTTTGTTTTTTTTTTATGGTAGATGTCTATGGCGCGTCCCTTAATGCCACATCGGGCCTCTAAAAGAATCAAAACACCACTGCATGTGCATTCTCTTGTGCTGTTTTTAATTTCAAATTTAATATTTTCATCATTTCAATGTTGTTTTTATTAACTTGCAAATAAATTAAGAGTTTTTTATAAGCAAAATATCTGTGTATATATATTTTCGGAAAAATATCTAAAACCGTATATTTTTTCAATATTTCGCTCTTATTTAATAAATCCAATTTAAACATTTGTGATCGTTTTCTTTATAGATTTTTTTTTATATATAGAAATCGATCAAACATTGTCAAATGTTCCTGAGGATGACTTCAGACTGAAGTCGAAATATCGGCAAATAAAAACAAATGTAAAATCAAAAATTTTATTTCGATTTTCATGTGGCCTTGAGCTCGAAAAATATACAATACTGTGTAAAACGAACGGCCAATAAATAAAAAGATAGAAATTTTTGAAATAAATATATTACTTAGTCGCCAAATTGTTGTAATATTTTTCGAATTATAGCTAAATTTAAAAAAAAGGCGCAACTTTAGAATTTTGAATGGATTATTTAATACTTGGTGTTTGTTTTTTAGTGTTATTTTGTAATAATATTCGATTTTTAAAAAGGTTTCCCAATTACATATTAATTCAAGGCACAATTTAATAAATTGAGAAAAAATTGTTTAAAGCTTTTTTACTAACAATTAGTTCTAATAATGTAAGTTTGAATTGCTTGGTTAAAATTTTTTTAAGTGTATGTTTTATTTAAAAAAATCTTTCCTGTTCGAGTGATTTCCAATTGACTGGAGCGCTGCTAACATTTCAAGTTGAAGTTACTTTCAAGTGTATTTATTTTTCTAAAGATAAATATTACCGATTAGAAGCTGCAAGTAAAGAAGAAGAAAATTTAACATTCAATATGAGATATGTATGTAGTTATTGATAAAATTGATTAGATATTAGACTGAGTCACCTTACAAGCAAACAAAAAAGTCTTAACGATTTTCGTAAATTCCATTGGGGCAATCAAAATACTTCCTAAGAAAAAGTTTGATGATTTTTGGAAAGCTTTAATTTACTGACCATAGGTGAGTAAGTACTAAAATGGAGTACTTGAGGTCCATCAACTTTGAAACAAAAAAATAAATTGTTTCCTCGAGACAAGATATCGAAATATCATGCTTTAAGAAAAATGCAAGAAGGCAGTCAAAACAAGTAAGAAAGTCTAAGTTCGGGCGGAGCCGAACATTAAATACCCGGCGCAAGTATTAAATATATGTTTTTTCACCTTTCCGAAACCTACCGCTAGATGGTAGGCCGCGGTGTATAAATTTTAAGTAAACTAGCGTCCTTAAATTTCGAAATATTGAAGCTTCAAGCATTTCTGAAATATACCGTTATATGAAAATCGGCCGTAATTTTAGTCCGATTTCAATAATTTTCAACGTTTTGCTTTTATGTGGCAAGCACAATAACCACACCGAGTTTGGTACAAATTGGTAGAACGGTTACCGATATACATATATGTGATCATAAGTGGGCGGTGCCACGCCCATTTTCCAAAATTTTACCATAAACGTATTTCTTGGTAAAAAATTGTTGCAAGCATCAATTTTGAATAAATTAGCTTCAATATTTACTGATTTATCGAAGATTTTGTATTTCTCTAAATTACCGTTATATGGGAAGTGGGCGTGGTTATTGAGCGATTTTAAAACTTTTCAGCCATTTGGTATGCTGTGCGAAGGCCAACAACTGTGCCCAGTTTGGAAGAAATTGGTGCAGCGGTTACCAAGATATACACATGTTACCATAAGTGGGCGTGGCTACGCCCATTTTCCAAAAATTTATAATATTCTTAGTCTTTCGTCTAAAAATTATTGTAAATATCAATTTTGAGTGAATTATCTTCAGTAGTTACTAAAATATCGCAGTTTTCGTATTTCTGGAAATTACCGTTATATGGGAAGTGGGCGTGGTTACAGTCCGATTTCGCCCATTTTCAATACCAACCTACATTGGATTAAGGAAAACCTACATACCAAATTTCGTTGAGATATCTCAATTTTTGCTCGAGTTATCGTGTACACGGACGGACGGACAGACGGACAGACGGACAGACGGACGGACAGACAGACATGGCTTAATCGATTTCTTTTTTCATCCTGATCATTTATGTATACATTTGTCTATATCTATCTCGATTCGTTTTGGCTGTTACAAACAACCGTTATGTGAACAAAATTAATATACCCTTGTGCACAAGTGCGC